CTATTGAAAGCATTTTTGTCATTTTTGTCTAAGTCCTTTTGACACGATGAGAGATTATGCTCCACTCAGCCAAAGGGAAGCTTTTCCAAGACTTTTGGATACATTTGGAATTTCCATTACAACAATGTTATTATGGCTAGAATTTTAAATGTATGCAATAATACAATAAACAATCATAATGAACCTAAGTATTAAACAGATTTTCATTTATACACAATTTAATGTACCAGAAAAACTATTAAACAGAATTTAATTCAAAACACTGACTCAAAAATTATAAACTTTTTCTTATTATTACTACATAATAACATAACATGTGTGAACTCAAACTAATAATTTATATATTGTTCCAGAACTATAAAAGTTTTATCAATGTTTCCTATGTCCTGATGATGCCATGAGCACACCAACCGCGGCAATAAACATAAACAGCATACTCCCAAGCAGTACATATGTTCTTCGCGATGATCTTCTATACTCTCCAAACAAAACAATCCCCCAAAATGTACTTACTAGTGGAAGTGCCTGTTTCATCAACACATTCAAATCAACAAGTGAAATGTAAACACAAATAACATATACATGTAACAAAACTCACTTGGACAGCATCTGCTGCTGCATATCCTGCAGCTTGACCTCCCATAAACTGAAGTCCATTCCCAAATCCACAAAGGAAACCAGCCAACAAGGCCCATCCTCTACCATTCCAGTCTCCAAAATAGGCTTTTAACGACGACTTGGGTAAGTTTAAAACGGGGTGGTACAGAAAAATGATGTTTAGAATTATTCCAATAACAAAACAAGATACTGAAAAATAGAAAAAGGCGGTGTAGACATTCAAATGCGGAACCCCTTTTTTTAAACTGTGCCATTGGTCATTTGTTGCTAAGTTGAATGCTGGCGAAAACAAAGAAAAGCACATTCCAGCAAAGAAAGTTATACTCAATCCAATTAAAGTGTTTTTCCCAAAAACCTGTTGCAGAACTTTGAGAGTAAGATATGTGACTAAGGTAAAATGATGTTTTGAAGTATCATCCAATAATAGATTATATTCACATGCCTTAATAGCTCTTCTTTTCTCAAGATCTATAAGAAAATCTGCACTTCCTGCCTTCAACTTTTCTGCAGAATTGCTTCCACTTTCAATATCCTTTGACTTAACTATTATTATACACATTGATAAGGTAGGAAAAATTAGCATGTTGTCAAATCATGTAATCCTATAAGTTGAACCTTGTTGAAGGTTTTTACCTATGTTTCCTTCTCTCAAAGAATCCTTGAGCTTAGCCGAATTATCAGCGGTATTTGATGAATGAACAGCAGATCCTAGACAAACTGCAACCAAAAAGCAACCAACTCCTGGGAAAAGAATCTCGGCTTTATTGATTTTGTCATCCAAAAAGTAATTTAACGTTGTTCCTGCAACAAATGGAACAGAGTTAATACAGCAGAGTTCAGTACTGTATAAAGTTGAAGGGTATTCATTCTATATATTACTATATTGCCGTTTGTCTAGAGCTTATTAAAATAAGCTGTTGCTTAGCTTATTTTAGTAGTTTAATAATTTTGGACTGATTATGTTAGGTCAATGATATACCTATAACAACAGTTATGCTTGATGTAATCACTTCGGTAACAGACAGACCAACTAGAGCAAATGCATATTGTGTGGACAGATTTCCTATGCTAAGGACCACACCACCTGCCATTGCAAACATTACTGACTGCCAATTATCCTGCACAAATAACTTCAAGCTAAGCATGCATTTAGATGTATAGCTTCAAAGATGATAGTAACAATGAAACTCAGCACATGTTACTATAGTTGGAATTGAATGGCCAGAATACCGACAGGCGACAAAACACACCAACTTTCCCTAACCTGGGCAAGTTGAGTTAAGAAATTGGGTTCATCATGTGTCCCTTTTCCTATCTCACCAAAAGTAAAAGCAATGATAACAGCAGCCAAGAAATTGGTGATAGAGTAATCAAGGTATGTATGCTGAGGAAGACGGCCTCGTCGTTCTAACAGAGTCAGAACAGCAGGCCATGTCCCCAAAAAGAAAAGAGCCAACAGCATGCACCCTATGGCACCTCCCTTGCTCTCCACTAAATACATTTTCAACTCCCTGCTTAAGATGCTCTCGGAAATTGAACTAATCAAGGAGGAAAACTCATAAAAATCCTGAAAACAACATGAATTAGTCCATCTTCAAGAAAGCAAAAGCACAAAAAATGATAAGCTATTACTAGAAATACCAAAATTCTATAAAGCATTAACACAAACACGGATATCAAATAACTGAAATCCATAAACCAAAAGCAACAAAAACATGAGACAGAAAAGGAAAGTGTTCAATAACTGTAGTAACGAAAATAGAAGATGGAATAAAAAAACAGTTACCTAACTATGAGGAAGTGGGAAAATGAGAGAGGGTTTAGAATAGTGAAGAGTGTGTTACATTCCATTAGAATCAGATAGAGGCAAAGAATCAACTCGGACTTTGTCAGCTGATTCCTACTTTTGTTGACTTATAACTATATTTAATTTAATTAATTGACTTTATTTTTCTTTTTAACTTGGATAATGGATGAGATTCCGTTTTATATTCTACTGTCTCTTCCATATATGGCCGCCGCCTAAAACTATAAACTATATTTACAAAAAAGAACTTTTAATTTATAATTTTTAACTTTTTAGTTTCATTGGTAACTGTTATTTAGTTTATAGTTAGTAGATTTTATATTAATTTTTAGTTTTTTTTTCAAAAGTTATTTAAAGTAATTTTTGAATTTATAACTTTTAATTTATGACTTTTTTTTCATTGTACCCAAACTATTTTATTAATAACTCATTTTTACTCTTTAATTATTATAATTTAAATTAAAATAATTATATTTTAATCAAGAGAATAAAAAAAGTAAGTTATTATTTCTACGGAACAAATTCAATCTATCTTCCATTTTATTATTAATGAAATATTTTAATTCATAACACTAAATTATTTTTTGTTATTTTTAAATTATTATTTTAATTATTTATTTCTTGAGTTTTTATTATTGTTATATTATTTTTATAAATATGATAATAAATGATTGAATATATTTGTTTATTAATAGATTTTGAGAGAGAAAAAAAAGTATGCATTTTATTGAAATATAAGATCATATTATAATATTATTATTTTATATATTTAATTTCATTACAAATAAGTATTTAATATATTTTTCTGTTTAATTGAATTTTATATTTATATTTAAAATATTTTGTATTTAATTGTTAATATATTTATTTTTATTGAATAAAAAATAATTTAATAAATAAGATCACTAATTTTATTAATTAAGAATGTCCTTTTAAATTTTTTTGTATTTATCAGTTAGTATAACTGCTAATTTATCAAACACTCAAATTAATTTATCAATTATAAATCATCGATTATAAACTATCGGTCATCAACTATAAATTATAAGCTATTAGTCATTAGTTATCAGTTATCAATTAGTTTTACCAAACATAGTCATTATCCTAAACTTTAATTTATATATATATATATATATATATATATATATATATATATATATATATATATATATATATATATATATATATATATATATATATATATATATATATATATATATATATATATATATATATATATATATATATATATATATATATATATATATAATGTTATCATAGTTTATATAGGGTGTTGATATATATAAGAACGCTGGATAAGAAATACTAAATGGTCTTTAATTACAGTTTTATTTTATTAAAAAAATGGTAATTAAATATCTGTAACTATTAAGTTGACTTAAATTAATTTATTCACTCTCTTTCTTATTTATAGATAAATTTAGGGTGTTGCAAACCAGTGCTTGGGCATTGAATAAGAAATATTAAATGGTCTTTAATCACAATTTTATTTTATTAAAACGATGGTAATTAAATACATGTAACTATTAAGTTGACTTAAATTAACTTATTCACTCGCTTTCTCTCTTATAGTATAAATTTATACACAAATTATACACTCATTTTTGAAGTTCAAATAAACTTAAAAAAATTATTAAAAACAAAACTCATAATAAACTAATAATAAAATTTGTAAAAATAAAATAATAATTGAAAAAACTCAAATAAACGTATTCAATTGAAATATCAAATACAAAGATTCAAATATTTTGATAAAATTTAAAAAAAAAAGTAATAATAATAATAATAATAATAAAACTTTAACAAAATATAATTTAATGTCAAAGTATTTGTATCGCCAAGTTCAATTTTTATCAATCCATAATATATCAGGAACATATATTATCAGGAACATATTCTTATTACAATATTGTAATTAAAGCCTCAATCTTTAGGGTATTTTTGTTTCAAGTTATAAAACAATATTTCTTGAGATCATTTCTTAGATTATTATTTCTAGGAATAATATTTCACTTATGCGTTTGGATAAAAATATAATTTTTTAAAAATAATTATATATTTATTTAGTTTAAAAATTATTTAAAAAATTAAAAATAATAATACTTGAGTAGTAGTGGAAAGTTATAGGAAGATTAGTTTAGTTTTATGAAAACCTGGGATTCTGACCTTTTATGTATCAGAATAAGTATGACAAGAATTATATACAAACAAAATTCTTAAAACAAAGTATTCAAAAACAATTTTTAAAAATTTGAAATAAATATGAAAATTGTTACATTTTCAATGTCACATTCCTAAAAATGTAATTTTAATCTTTGAAACAAATACACCCTTAACAAAACGAAGAAAATTTCCATTACCTCAAATCTTAGGAATTTTGTTAGATTGATAAATATGATATAATACATATATCCCAAGGAATGTAGTTAAACTTTCAAAGAAGAAAGATGAAAACCAATTTTGCTTACGCAACCAGAAAAGTCTTTAATTCAACAAGCTCAATATTTACTTGATGGATAGGACTACACTCACAGGCTCCTCCTACAACAAAAATTCAACCACTTTCTGATATCCAAAATTCAGTATCTAAGCTCTCTATTTTCTCACCAACTACAAAAGCATGCACCTGGTCTCCAACTTGAACCCAACTACAACCAGGATTTTTCTTAGCTCCCCTTGACTTCATCAATTCCCTTACCTTATTTGCCTCATCCCATCTTCCAGCTTCAGCATACATATTTGAAAGCAAAATATAGTAACCACAATGGTCAGGCCTCAACTTAAACAAATGCTCAGCAGCCCAATGCCCCAATTCAACATTTCCATAAGTCCTGCAAGCTCCAAGCAATGCACCCCATATGTTAGCATCAGGTTCAAAAGATATGTTTCTAATAAGGTTTGCAGCTTCTTCAATTTGTCCCGCTCTTCCAAGACTATCGACCATACAAGCATAGTGCATATGTGTTGGCTCAATATTATGATCCTTCATTTTCTTAAAGTATTTATTCCCTTTCTCAATTAGACCTCCATGACTACATGCTGATAAAACAGCAATAAAGGAAACTGAATCGTATTCCACACCATTGTCCTTCATTGCTTCAAAAAGGTTGATTGCAGTGTCCAGTTCACCAAGCATACCATATCCCAAAATCATAGTATTCCATGAGGCGACATCCTTGTGTTGAATACGGTCAAAGATTTTAGTTGCAAGATCGATTCGGCCGCACTTGGTATACAAATCCAAAAGGGAATTTGCTGCAAAAAGATGAGTATGGAAAAGCTTTCTTACCAGATGCCCATGAATCCCCTTACCTTGCTTTATTAAAGCAAGATTTGCACAAGCTGATATGATACCGATGAACGAAACAATATCGGGCATCATGCCAGAGAGTCTCATTTCTGAAAACAAATTTAGAGACTCTGAGCTGTTAGTTGTTTGAGAATAGCCTAAAATTAGTATATTGTAAGAAATTTTATCCTTGATAGAATTATTGAAAACATTTCGAGCAAGACTTAAACGTCCGCATTTCGAATACATGTCTGTCAGAGCATTGGAGACAAACAAATCAAAGGCGCATCCAATTCGAATTATCCTGGCGTGAATTTCTTTTCCAACATTCAGGAAACCTAATCTTGCACATGCTGGAAGAACATTTGTGAAGGTCACGTTGTTGGGGTTTTCTCCATGAGCTTGCATTTGCCTCACTAATTCTACAGCTGCAAAATGGTGTCTATTCTGAGCAAAACTTGCAACCATAGCATTCCATGACACAATATTTCTCTCTTCCATTGTGTTAAATATAGTAGACGCTGTGCGCGACAATCCCGATTTCGCATACATATCTATCAAAGAGTTGCCAATAAAAATATCAGACTCAATACTCATCCTTAAACTAAACCCATGGACTTCCATTCCCATCTTAAAAAGTCCTAATTCTCCTAATACAGGTAGCATACTAGAAATGGTGACAGGGTTTGGTCTCATTCCTGCATCAATCATCAACCTAAACGCATCCAAAGCATCCATATAGCATCCCCTAAAAGAAAAACTAGTAATAATAGCATTCCACGAAACCTCATTTCTCTCATCCATCCCATCAAAAACTTTCTTAGAAGCCTCCTCACTCCCACATTTCCCATAAACATCAACAAATGCATTTCCAACTTTAACATGACTAAACAAACCAACCTTCAAAGCATACCCGTGCACAATTCTCGCCATAACCACATTCTCACTGTCCGCGCACACCGGCAACACACTAACAACAGTAACCAAATCCGGTCTAATAACCGGAGCAGAACCAACCATCTCTTTAAAAAAACCAAGTGACTCCTCATAAAAACCCTGAACAGAACATAAACCAATAACAGTATTCCAAGAAACCTTATCCCTTTCAAACATTTCATCGAACACCTTCATCGCATCAACAAGAAAACCATAATTACCATACAACATCAAAAGGGTATTTCCAACAAAAACATCCTTATCAAAACCAAACTTAAACACAACCCCATGAACCTCCCTACCCTTATCAATCTCCAAATAATCAGAACAACCCTTTAAAACAAAAGGGTAGGTATGATCATCAGGCTTAACACCAGAACGAACCATGGTGTTATAAATACTAAACCCATCAAAAACACCAGCAATGGAATAAGCACGGATGAGGGTGTTCCACAAGAAAGCAGAGCGGGAAAATGAAACAGCTTTTTGGAAGAGAAAAAGGGAACTTTTTGGGTGTCCAAAGGTAGCGTATTGTAGAATGAGAGAAGCGGAGATGGAGACACTGTGAGGGAGGAAAGAGTGGAGGATGGCAAAGGCATGGAGTTGCTTTGTGTGTGAAAGGGTGTGGGAATGAGTGCAGAGTTGAAGAAGATTTGGGTGAGTTTGTTGAATGTTTGAAGATGAAGAAAATGAAAAAGAAAAGAGAGTGTTATTGGTGAATTTGTGTTTGAGTTTATGGAGAAGATGGGAATGGAATAGCATGGAACAATGTAGAGTTTGATGATTGTTTCCTTCTGTCGATGTAGCATAGTGTTTGAGTTTCAGAATTCAGATTTCTCGTTACAGAATCTATTCGGTTTTACATCTCATTTATATTCTCATATTTTAAATTTAAAATAAGATGATTAGATAAAGCATATAATGTCTAGTTCCTAATAAATATATTAATTTTAGTTTTTTAAAACATTTATGTCAAGTGAGTAAGAGATGGGCCAGGATGAATTGTGATTAATTTTAATTATGTCTTAAATTTGGTTGGAATATTTTAATGACTTTAACCCGTACCTAAATTCGAAAAGAAATCCGATAATATATTAGGGGTGATTGGAGAGCTTACCCCAGTCTGAGTCTTGAAATATCTTCTAGATAAACTAAAATCTAAGAGGACCTTGCTCTGAACAAAGATTGAACTGATTCTTCAACAAGATCTGGAAGGAACTTGCCCCCGATAGGATCACCGACCAAGTTTCTCAATGTTTGAAAATTCCTCGAGAGGAAAGCCAGCTTGCAAACAAAAGTATTCATACCGACATGGTAATGTAAAGTTCATGCAACTTTTGAAATCAAAACCATTTTTGAAAGATGCAAAATAAATGAGTCATTGGTCGGAACACGGCGGTTCAAGACACTCAAAGTTTAAAGCAAATGTGTACTGCCAAAAATAATTGATTTGCAAAAATCTTTTGGAGTCAGTTTACGCAACCTTGCTGTAGTATGCTTTCAAAATAACCTTACTTCAATTAGGTCTTTTGAGGGTTGTAACGTGGTCTGGTTCACAGTTTAAGAAACAAAGGATAAAGGCTCAAATTTTATTCGTACCCACCCAATCTACGTGATAATCTCCATTCCTATGCTCAATTAACTCAGACTATGCGCTCAGGTTCCCATAGGTTAGGAATTGCACTAATGATAGTAATGATGATGGTTCAGAAGTCAACAGACTTTTTGAAAAGGCAGTCACTGCTTCTTTACAACATTTGGTTGTTTTGAAATTAAAGGATTTAAAGATCTTCTCTTTTATTATCCCTAACTTTTGCCTGAACTGTTTCTTTTGAAATTTACAGTCAGCATGATGCCCCAGTTTTGCCTAAGTCTCTTTCACAGGTTTTGACTTAGCGGGCTTTTTTCTTTTGATTTTTTTTTAAAGAAAATGATTGCCTAGCTTAATGATCACGGTGAACCATCATCGGTTTTCTTGGCTTGGAAAACATCTTCGACACTTGTTTGTTGTGTGCGAAGGAAAATAAATTGTGGTTGCAACCTTTATATGAAAGGTGTCTCACATGAACGCACAACCGAATTAACTGAGAACTACCCACCCCAAGGTTAAAACTGCGGGTTTTTGTAAAGAAAGAAAATCCAACTTCTAGGCTCGAAGGGGTTAACGAGGGATTATCTTCCTTATTTCTCCAGTGTTTGGGAGTTGAAACAATGCCTTACATCGTCAACAAAGTTTCATTGAAAGCATACCGACAACAGTTATGGGTATAATGTTTTCATCATCCTCCCTCAAATATTTGCATAATCAAAAATTTGGAACAAAGAGTAAATATTTGAAAGATAAAGTATAAAGGTGCAAACAAAAAAATGAATTGAATCAAAAGTTGTAATGCTTATTTCATTGGTATGAAAGTATAAACACTAATTAAAAGCAAACAGCTTAAACATAATGAAGGAAAGTGCAATCAATGAAAAACAAAAGGCCTAGTGACTAAATCAATACAAAGATGAGTCGTCCTGTCTAAAACACTGGCGTTCAAAAAGATAGTCTGCTGAAGTCGGACTGAAGCTTTATTTTTGATACACTGGCAAGGTATTGTTCTGGACATTCGGATGATTATCCTTAAAATCAAGGATTCCAGTTCGAATCAACTCCCGTACTCTGGCTTTCAGTGCATAACAATGTTCCAAGTCGTGGCCTGGGGCACCCTCATGAAAAACACAATGGAGGTCAACCATAAATCCAGCTGGAGGAGGATTAGGAGGAGGTTGCAAAGCCTTCATAGTAATCAACCCTTGTTGAACCAGATCAGGATAAAGTTCTGTATATGTCATGTGAATAGGATCAAATTGATTCCTATTCCGATACTGGTTTTGTCCAATAGTTAGACGTTGAGGAATCCGAGCTGGTCGTGGAGCAGCAGTAGTAGTAGTAGTAGTAGAAGTGACAGCAGTAATAACAGAGTGATTATACCTTGGTTGAGGACGATGATTTCTCACTTCAACCATGACAGCGTTGGTTTGCTCTTCTTTCTTCTTATGGAAAGTCCCAAAGGATTTCTTCGCACCATTAGAAGGTTCAACGGCTTTGGATACCTTACCATTTTTCAGTCCTTCTTCTAACCTTTGGCCAATGGTCACCAGATCTTTAAAGCTTGAAGATACACTTCCTATCATCTTTTCCCAATAAAGAGGGGACAAAGTATCCATGAACATTCCAGTTAGCTCCTTCTCTGCTAGAGGGGGTTTAACCTGGGAAGCCAACTCTCTCCATCGCTGGGCATACTCTTTGAATGACTCTTTCTCATTCTGAGACATATTTTGAAGTTGACGGTGATCAGGAGCCATGTCCAGATTGTATTTGTATTGTCTCATAAAAGCGTTGGTGAGATCTTGGAAGCAGTTAATGTTGTTATGCTCTAAGTTCATATACCATTTGAGAGAAACACCACTCAAGCTGTCTTGAAAGCAATGGATGAGCAACTTCTGATTGTTGGTGTAAGCTGCCATCCTTCGGAAGTACATAACCAAATGGGCTCTTGGACATGAGTGCCCCTTATATTTCACAAACTCAGGAATCTTGAATTTTGCAGGCATAACAAGACCAGAAACTAAGCACATATTGTCAGCATCGACATTAAAGAAATCAGTACCCTCAACGGCCTTGAGTCTCTTATCTATGTTCTAAAACTGTTCACAGACAATCTCAGGCTCGACAAAATCTTCATGGTCTTCTCCTTTAGCACCGACATCATTGTAGTCAAAGAAAGGAGTCTCAAAGGGAGATCGGCCATTCTGGGAAACAGTATGGACCACAGGTCTGGACTCTGTAAAGACGGGAGCTTGAAAAATTGGTCTGACAGTCTGACCGATCATAGCAGTAGATACAAGGGGTGGAGAGTAGTTAGGAGGTAAACCAAACTCTGGCCAAGTAGATTGTGACATTTGAACAGGAGGATGATCAACACTAGAAACTTCCTGAATGACGGTCCTCTGAGACGGCTCTCCTCTGGCGATCAGTACTTGAAGCATCTCGGTGAGCTTAGTCATGCCTGATTTCAACTCATCGATCTCCATTCGGATTTCTGCGTTGTGTACTTCCTGCTCTGACATTCTTCGTCTATAGTTAGCTCTAGTTTGATATCAGTGTCGGAGAATCAGTTTGACGACTCAAAGGCACACTGGACGATGAAGACAGCTGGAGATGAGCGACTGGACAAACAGAGGTATGCAACAAACCATGGAAAGATGCAAATGTAATGCAATGCGATGCAAGACAGGATGCAAAACACACATAACAGGATCAAAGGTTCGAGATCACAGCATGGAGTTTGAGTGAAGAACCAACCATAGGCTATGTACTAAGGGTAAAGCACCTGCACAACGGGTTCTAACAAAGTTCCCAAAGTCATCGACCCATCTTTCAGATATTATCGACACACCAAATACTTGGAAATCAATAATATTCTCAAGAGAGTCTCGTCTGAGTGTAGTATCACGTATCAACTACTTCGGGAATACTCCCTCATAGTCATCACACTACGTCCTAAAAGGCCAAGTGGGGATAAAAGGTAACTAAAAGTCCTCAGTGTCACAGACTCCTAAGTCGAAAGTAGTAATGTTTTCACGAATACTCGTTCAACAAAACTAACTCTCAAGAGGGCCTCCACTGAGCGGTGGTTTCTCAAGTTAGTTTGGTCGGGAATCAACTCCCTATAAGCCTTCTTGAATATACCACCATCCTATCATAAGTGCACTCAAGTCCGGGTATAGGACTTCCTCACCACTCAAGGTAACAACCATACATATAGAAAAACCCAAGCACAGACTGATATATGTATAGATAGACAAGCAAGTAAACATATACTAAACACAAATATAAACAAGGTGGGCTTAACCCTCTTAGGGGGGATCCCCAGTGAAGTCGCCATTTCTGTTGCAGTGAGAATCATGATACCAAGCTATTGATTAACTTGAATCTTTAATTCTTAAATTCACAACCGGACTTTAATTTATCCAAAAGGAAAGGTTTAAAGAAAGAAAGACCTATAAAAATGCGAAGTAAAAGGCAAGGCCTAAAGCTAAGCAAAGAGAGATCTAAAGGTTCGGGGGTTGGTTATGCATAAGGTAGGTATTTCACATCCTAAACATCTGTAGTACTCTACAGGAACCTCTTGTTAATATTTGTGTTTGCTAAAGTTTTCTTGCTAAAGGGAAAGTGTTAAGGGTAAAGATCTAAAGTATATACAAAGTTTGTAAAGTTTGCTCGCAAAGACATCGCATCTCGTGCCTACGTATCCTGACGGGAATGGAATCAGAGCAACCGTAGTTCCCCTAACTAGGGGTGAGAAACTCTTGACTGTGGTCAAGGTTCCAAAGGGAAAGTAAATGTCTGCGGCGAGACATCCACATAGAGCGCGAAGACTCTAAACTAAGTTGTAAAGTTGGCAAAGATGGGAATGTCCACGGCGGGACGACTAAATAGAGCACGGAAACTCCAAGCTTAAGTTGTAAAGGTAAACACAGGAAATGTCCACGGCGGGATGACTAAATAGAGCACGGAGACTCCAAAATTATGGCAAAGTTAAACAGGAAGTTAGTTGCTAGTTGGGAAAAAAGAAAAGGTTGTGAAACGAAGGAAAAAAGAAAAGGTTGCTCGCCAAGGATCGGGGCCTTGTGCCTACGTATTCTCAAAAAAGAACTTTGAGAAATCAGAGCGTTCGTAGTTCCCCTAACTAGGGGTGAGGAACTCTTGACTGTGG